TATTTTAATAGCAGAACTTAGGACAGTGCCTGGCACATGTTGTTTTTCAGTCATTTCTCAGTTGTGTCTGAACTTCATGACCCCGTTTGGGGTTTTCTAGGCAAAGACACTGCAATGGTTTGCCATTTCCTTCTCCAGCTCATTTTATAGATAAGGAATCTGAGGCAAACAGGATTAAATGACTTGCCCAGGGTCACACAACCAGGAAGTGCCTTATGATAGATTTGAACTCAGAAAGATGAGTCCTCCTGATTCAAGGCCTGGCACTCTATCCACTGCTCCACTTAGCTGACCTCCTGGCATATAGTACTTAATAAATGCCGCCTTCCTCCATTATCATTTATAATTCCACATTATTTATCAGAATGATTGAACCAATTCATAATTCTGCTGGGACTGAATTCAACCAACCCTTGCAACATTAATTATGTTTAGCACTTGTCTCTGACCATTTGTTGGGTGTGAGGTAAAATCTGAGAGCTGTCTTAACTTTTCATTTCTCTTATTAGTAGTGCTATGGAACAAGCTGACATAGGGTGGTTAGTGGTGTGGGAATCTTCCATATAGAACTATTTGTTCATAAACTTTACCTACTTAATAACTACTTTAACTTAAGCTTTTGACTGTTTGTTTTTGTCCTGATCTATACTTTTCTTTTTTAGCTGCATTGACTGTGTTTACATGTATGCTTTTCAATTTAATGGAAACAGTTTATTTTGTCTTCTTTGTTCCTTTCAGCCCTTGTTTGGTGAATATTTCCTACCACTCCCCATCATGGGACATGTCTCCTTCCATTTTCTTCTTTCATTTTTATGATATGACTTTGGATAGTTACGTTGTTTATTCATTTAGAACTTGTAGCATATACTCTAAGGGTTTGGTCTAAATTTAAGTATCATCAAACTTATTTGCAATTTAAACAGAAGTAGGCATCAGATAAGAAATCTTCCCTAAATACTTCATGTTCTTGGATTTATTGAACACAATGCTGTGGCGTTCAGTTGTTTATAATTCTTGCTGAATTAGTCTGTTGTATTGGTTTACTGTTTTATTTTTCAAATAAGACCAAGTAGTTTTTAAAACTTTTTATTTATTTTCAGCAGTCTTCCAAATTCTTTCCCTCATTCCCATCCATCCCCTACCCATTTTGAGAAGGCAAGCAATATGAAATCCGTTCGGTGTTTCAGCATATTTGTTGGTGTGGCGTGGCCTGAGGGCATGTGCAATTCAAAATAATTGTTCTTTGTGTTCAGAACCAAGGCTGCAGTGAAGTTGTGACACACAACACCAGCAAGCATTACCAGAAACACCTTGGACTCAGGTCAAGACCCACAGTTTAAGAAGTGCTTCAAGTGGATTTGATGATCTGGTTCTGCTCATTTCACTTTGCATCATTTCATATAGGTCTTCCTATTTTTTTTTCTGAAACCCCCTCCTTTATCATTTCGTTTAGCACAGTAATACTCCATCACAATTATATGCCGTGACCAACTCTACAAATAGTTCACTACTACACTTATTTTCCCTAATCCCCTGCAGCATTCGTCATTTCTTACAAATGTGAGGTGATACTTCAGAGTTGTTTTAAATTGCATTTCTCTAATCAATAGTAATTTAGTGCATTTTTATATGACTAGATATCTTTAATTTCTTTTTCTGAATACTATCTGTTCATACTCTTTGACCATTTGTCAATTAGAGAATGACTCATTTTTATAAATTTAATTCAGTTCCCTCCTATATATTTCCTAAATGAAGCCTTTATCAGAGAAACTTACCAAGCAGTTTTAATGATTATTGCTTTATGAAGGAAAATGAACCATTACTTCATAAAAACAATTTCAATTCTGGAAGGGCTTTTCTCCATTCCTACTTTAAAAATGAAAATTCTTTTTATATTCCACACCTTTTTTCCTCAAAACAAATTTTATTAGTTTGTCAAATTGTCTCTATACTTTGGAGATATTTTCCTTTGTGTGTTCTAAGTTATCTACTTTTTGTCTTATTCATCTAAATCTCAGCTATTGTCTGAGGCACTGAGAAGTGGAGTGACTTTTCCAGAGTCACATAGTCAATATATAGAAGAAGCTGGAGTTGAACTCAGGTATTCCTCATTCTGAAGTGCTGTTTCTCCATTAGGTCGGGCAGTCTCTAGAAAAATTATCACTGTTTTACTATTTTAACAGTTCTTTTTTCTGTGAAGAAATGACTTGAACTTGAAGGTTTCTCTTCCCAGGAAAGTAATAACTGTTGAGATTTAAGTGAGCTTTCAGGTATGCAAAATACTTTGTTGCACTATTCATTTGATTCACCCATCTACTCTCTAAGGTAAATATTATAGGTATTATTATTTTTATCTCCTGTATGTATAAACTAAAGGTCAGAGACATTAAATGACATGCTCAAGACTGAACAGCTAGTAAGTGTCAGAAGTGGGATTTGAACCTAGATCTACTCTAACTCCAGGTCCAGCACTCTTTCTACTACTCCTTGTTTCCATTCATTATGTTAGAAGATGGCAGTTGCAACACCAAGGGTTATTGTTTGATAATTGGGCTATGTCATATCAAGTGGAACAAAACCAATACAAGGGATACAGCATTTGAGTTAAACTCATCTGGATGACAGCTGCTTGTTCCAGAATATTATGAAGTTGTTTCTATTTAAATAAGGTCACCATTTCCATGTGGAGCACAATAATGCAGGGAATACAACATGAACTTGTCTGGATCCTTATCAACCAACCTGATACACCTATGCTCACCTGAGAACTTTAAACCTACAGCTCATTTCCTCATGTAGTTATTTTTTTCTACCACCACTAACTCTTTACATTCAAAGGCACTCTGAGAGGAAGGGGGTGATTTTTGAATACCCAAAGTAGTTGTGGTTTTAGAGACTTTAGGTTTGAGGGAGAAAGCACTATTTTTAAACACAGAATATTCTGATTTGAGTCCTGGCTCCACTTAGTAACTGTGTGACCTTGGATAAGTCTGTTTGCCTTTCTTCAACTATAAAATAGAGATAATAATCACACCTATCTACCAGGGTTGTTACGAGGATCAAATGAGATAATGCTTATAAAGTGTTTAGCACAGTGTTTAACATATAGTAGAAACTCTATAAATTCTAGTATTATTATTAGTATTACTTAATGTTGATGAGCTTCAGTTTCTTTATTATAAAAAGGGAATAACTTGCTAACTTGCTGGGTTGTGACAAAAGCATTTTGTGAAGCACCATATTAAAAGTTAATAAGGTAGCAAGTCTGGTAGCAGCCTGAAAACCTGTCTGACCGAAGAGCACCAAAGAGGGAATCCTTTACACCCTGCATCTCCTATCTGCTCATAGATTTCTATAGGTGATTTTTTTAAATATGAATTTTTAGTTTTCAACATTTACTTCCACAAGATTTTGAGTTCCAAATTTTCACCCCATCTTGCCACTCCCCCCAACCCCAAGATGGCATGCATTCTTAATGTCCCTTCCTCTAGTCTGCCCTCTCTTCTATCTCTCCCCCCCTTCTCTTATCCCCTTTCCCTTCTATTTTCCTGTAGGGCAGGATAGACTTCTGTACCCCATTTCCTGTATTTCTTATTTCCCAGTTGCATGTGAAAACTTTCTTTTAAACATGTGTTTTTAAAACTTTGGGTTCCAAATTTTCTCCCTTCTTCCCTCCCCACCCATTCTCATGGAAAAGGCAAGCAACTCAATATAGGTTATACATGTGCAGTTATGTAAAACACTTTCACAGTAGACATGTTGTGAAAAACTAACTCTATTTCCCTTAATCCTATCCTGCCCCCCCATTTATTCTACTCTTTCTTTTCACCTGTCCCTCCTCAGAAGTATTTGCTTCTGATTACCCCCTTTCCCAATATGCCTTCCTCTTTGTCATCCCCCTGCTCTTGTCCCCTTCCCCCCCCCGATTTTCCTATAGGTAAGACAGATTTCCATACCCATTTGAATGTGTATGTTATTTCCTCGTTAAGCCAAATCCTATGAGAATAAGATTAACTCATTCCCTCTCACCTTCCCCCATTTCCCCTCCACTATAAGAGACTTTTCTGTTTTTTCATGAAGTAATTTACCCTGTTCTACCTCTCCATTTCTTCTTCTCCTAGTATAATCCTCTCTCATCCCTTAATTTTAATCTCCAGATATGACCCCTTAATCTTCAACTCACCCTGTGCCCTCTATCTATCTATCTATCTATCTATCTATCTATCTATCTATCTATCTATCTATCTACATACATATAATTTTCCCCCCTCCAACTACCCTAATACTGACAAAGGTCTTATGAGTTATAAATATCATCTTTCCATGAAAGAATGTAAATAGTTCAACCTTAATAAGTCTCTTATGATTTCTCTTTCCTGTTTACCTCTTCATGTTACACTTGAGTCTTATCTTTGAAAGTCAAATTTTCTATTCAGCTCTGGTCTTTTCATCAAAAATGCTTGAAAGTCCTCTATTTCACTGAATGACCATTGTTTCCCCTGAAGGGTTATACCAGTTTTGCTAGGTACGTGATTTTTGGTTTTAATCCTATCTCCTTTGCCTTCCAGAATATTATACTCCATGCCCTCTAGTCCTTTAATGTAGAATCTGCTAAATCTTGTGTTATCCTGATTGGGTTTCCACAATACTTGAATTGTTTCTTTCTGGCTGCCTGCATATTTTCCCTTGACCTGGGAACTCTGAATTTGCTACAATATTCCTAGAGTTTCCTTTGGGGCTCTCTTTCAGGAGGAGATCAGTGGATTCTTTCAATTTCTATTTTGCCCTCTGGTTCTAAAATATCAGTGCAGTTTTCCTTGATAATTTCTTGAAAGATGATATCTTGGCTCTTTTTTTTTTTATCATGGCTTTCAGATAGTCCAATACTTTTTTTATTTTTTATTTTTTTTCTCTGCCATATGAATTTTATGCTGTTGAAAAAGTTATGCATTCCTACATAAGACCTTCCCATACATATCTCATTCCTAAAATTTCTGTCAAGTGTGAATTCTCTCATGTTGAATAAGTCCTGTTTTCCAGGAGAAAGACCTTCCACATTTGTAACACTCATAAGGTTTCTGTCCAGTATGAACACTCTGATGTTGAGCAACACGTGTGCTGTGCTGGAAGGCCTTTCCACATTTGTTACATTTGTACGGTTTCTCTCCAATATGAATTGTCCCATGTTGAGTAAGTCCTGCCTTGCGAGAGAAAGCCTTCCCACATCCATTACATTTATAAGGTTTCTCTCCAGTATGAACTATCCAGTGGCAAACAAAACCAGTCTTCCAGAAGAAGGCCTTCCCACATTCGTTACATTCATAGGGTTTCTTTCCAGTGAGAATTCGCTGATGCTGAGTAAGGGATTTCCTCTTGAAGAAAGTCTTCCCACACACATTACATTCATAATGTTTCTCTCCAGTATGAATCCTTTGATGCTGAGCAAGTGACTTTCTCTCAAAGAAAGCCAACCCACATATATTACATTCATAAGATTTCTCCCCAGTATGAACTGCCTGATGTCCAAGAAGTCCTATGCTCCAGTGAAAGGTCATTCCACAAGCATTACATTCCTAAGGTTTCTCTCCAGTGTGAATTTTTTGGTGTTCATTAAGTCCTGTCCTCCTATGGAAGGTCTTTCCTCACTTGTTACATTCATAAGCCTTCTCACCAGTGTGAATTCTCTGGTGTTGAGTGAGGTGTGTGCTTTGACAGAAGGCCTTCCCACAGATTTTGCTTTCAAAAGGTTAAGCTCCTGTATGGATTTTTTGATGATTAGTAGGGCCTATCCTCTGATGCAAGGTCATCCCACAGTGATTATACTCATAAGGGCCAATCTAATAGGTGTGATGTGGTACCTCAGAGTTGTTTTGATTTGCATTTCTCTAATCAATGATGATTCAGAGCATTTTTTCATATGACTATAGATGGCTTTAATTTCTTCATCTGAGAACAGTCTGTTCATATTCTTTGACCATTTATCAATTGGGGAATGACTTGTGTTCTTATAAATTTGTCTTAATTCTCTGTATAATTTAGAAATGAGGCCTTTATCAGAGAGAATGGTTGTAAAAATTCTTTCCCAGTTTTCTACCTTCCTTCTAATCTTAGTTTCATTGGCTTTGTTTGTGCAAAAACTTTTCAATTTAATGTAATCAAAATTATCTATTTTGTTTTTCATAATGTTCTCTATCTCCTGTTTGGTCATGAATTCTTCTGTTCTCCATAGATCTGATAGGTAAACTATTCCTTCTTCTCCTAGTTTACTTATGGTATCACCCTTTATATCTAAGTCGTGAACACATTTTGACTTTATTTTGGTGTATGGTGTGAGATCTGGGTCTATGCCTAGTTTCCACCATACTCTTTTCCAGTTTTCCCAGCAGTTTTTTTCAAAGAGTGGGTTCTTATCCCAGAAGCTGGGGTCTTTGGGTTTATCAAATAATAGATTACTATAGTCATTGACTACTGTGTCTTGCATATTTAACCTATTCCACTGATCCACCTCCCTATTTCTTAGCCAGTACCAAGCAGTTTTGATGATTGCTGCTTTATAATACAATTTAAGATCTGGAATTGCTAGGCCACCTTCCCCTGCATTTCTTTTCATTAGTTCCTTTGATATTCTGGACCTTTTGTTTTTCCAAATGAATCTTGTTATTATTTTTTCTAACTCTATAAAATAATTTTTGGTAGTTTGATTGGTATGGCACTGAATAAGTAAATTAGCTTAGGTAGGATTGTCATTTTTTATATTAGCTGCCTACCCATGAGCAACTGATGTTTTTCCAATTATTTAGATCTGATTTTATTTGTGTGAAAAGTGTTTTGTAATTGTGTTCATAGAGTTCCTGGGTTTGTTTTGGGAGGTAGACTCCTAAATATTTTATAATGTCTACAGTAAGTTTAAATGGGATTTCTCTTTCTATCTCTTGCTGTTGGGCTTTGTTGGTAATATATAGAAATGCTGATGATTTATGTGGGTTTATTTTATAGCCTGCAACTTTGCTAAAGTTGTTTATTATTTCAAGTTGTTTTTTACTTGATTCTCTAGGATTCTCTAAGTATATCATCATGTCATTGGCAAAGAGTGGTAGCTTTGTTTCTTCTTTGCCTATTCTAATGCTTTCAATTTTTTCTTCTCTTATTGCTAAAGCTAACGTTTCCAGTACAATATTGAATAACAGTGGTGATAATGGACATCCTTGTTTCACCCCGATCTTATTGGAAATGCTTCTAGCCTGTCCCCATTACATATAATGCTTGCTGAAGGTTTTAGATATGCTATTTATTATTTTAAGGAAGACTCCATATATACCTATGCTTTCTAGTGTTTTTAATAGGAATGGGTGTTGTATTTTATCAAAAGCTTTTTCTGCATCTATTGAGATGATCATGTGGTTTCTGTTGGTTTTGGTGTTGATATGCTCAATTATGCTGATAGTTTTCCTAATATTGAACCAACCCTGCATTCCTGTTATAAATCCTACCTGGTCATAGTGTATTATTCTTGTGATAAGTTGCTGCAATCTATTTGTATTTTGTTTAAAATTTTTGCATCTATATTCATTAGAGAAATTGGTCTATTTTTCTTTCTCTATTTTGACTCTTCCTGGTTTAGGTATCAACACCATATTTGTATCATAAAAAGAATTTGGTAAGACTCCTTCTTCACCTATTTTCCCAAATAGTCTATATAGTATTGGAATTAATTGTTCTTTAAATGTTTGATAGAATTCATGTAAATCCATCTGGCCCTGGAGATTTTTTCCTAGGGAGTTCATCAATGGCTTGTTCAATTTCTTTTTCTGAGATGGGGTTATTTAAGTATTTTACTTCCTCTTTGTTAATCTGGGCAATTTATATTTTTGTAAATATGTATCCATTTCACTAAGATTGTCAAATTTGTTGGCATATAGTTGGGCAAAATAATTCCTAATTATTGTTTTAATTTCCTCTTCCTTGGTGGTAGCTTCCCCTTTTCATTCTTGATACTAGTAATTTGGTTTTCTTCTTTCTTTTTTTAATTAAATTAACCAAAGGTTTATCTATTTTATTGTTTTTTCATAAAACCAGCTCTTAGTTTTATTTATTAGTTCAATAGTTTTCTTAATTTCAATTTTATTAATTTTTCCTTTGGTTTTCAATATTTCTAATTTGGTGTTTAGTTGAGGATTTTTAATTTGTTCTTTTTCTATTTTTTAGTTGTATGCCCAATTCATTAATCTCCTCTTTTTCTATTTTATTTATGTAAGCATTTAGAGATATAAAACTTCCCCTAAGAACTGCTTTCACTGCATCCCATAGTTTTGGTATGTTGTCTCATTATTGTCATTCTCTTGAATGAAATTATTGATTGTTTCTATGATTTGTTGTTTGACCCAATCATTTTTTAGGATTAGATTATTTAGTTTCCAATTATTTTTTAGTCTATCTTTCCATGGCCCTTTATTACATATAATTTTTATTGCATCATGATCTGAAAAGGATGCATTTAATATTTCTGCCTTTCTGCATTGGATTGTGAGGTTTTTATGCCCTAGTACATGGTCAATTTTTGTGTATGTGCCATGTACTGCTGAGAAAAAAGTATATTCCTTTCTATCCCCATTCAGTTTTCTCCAGAGGTCTATCATACCTAACTTTTCTAATGTTCTATTCACCTCCTTAACTTCTTTCTTGTTTATTTTGTGGTTAGACTTATCTAGTGCGAGAGGGAGGTTCAGGTCCCCCACTAGTATAGTTTTGCTGTCTATTTCTTCCTGTAACTCCCTGAACTTCTCCTCTAAGAATTTGGATGCTATACCATTTGGTGCATATATGTTTAGTAATGATATTACTTCATTGTCTATGGTGCCTTTTAGCAGGATGTAGTTTCCTTCCTTATCTCTTTTGATTAGATCTATTTTTGCTTTTGCTTTGTCTGAGATCAGGATTGCTACCCCTGCTTTTTTTACTTCAGCTGACGCATAATATATCTGCTCCAGCCTTACCTTACCCTGTATGTGTCACTCTTTTTCAAATGTGTTTCCTGTAAACAACATATTGTAGGATTATGGTTTTTAATCCATTCTGCAATCCTTTTCCTATGAGAGTTCATCCCATTCACATTCACAGTTATGATTACTATCTGTGTCTTTTTCTCCATCCTTTCCCCCCATTTATGCTTTTCTTTCTCCTTTTTCCTTTCCCCTTCACTAGTGTTTTGCTTTTACCACCTCCTTCAGTCCCTCCTCCCTTTTATTATCCCTTTCCCTTTTCTTCCCCTTTACTCTTACTGCTTCTTCCCTCCCTTCTTTTTCCCCCTCCCTTTTCTTTCCCCTTTTCCCTCCTACTGCCTATAGGGCAAGTTAGATTTCTATACCTAACTGATTATGTTATGCCCTTCTTGAGCCAAATCTGATGAGAGTAAGGTTCAAACAATGCTCCCCCCCTTCTTTCCCTCTGCTGTAATAGGATTTTGTGTCTTTTCCTGTAATGTAATTTACCCTTGTCTGCCTCCTCCTTTCTCAGTACATTTTCTAAGATCAGATTGATCCACTTATTTGGATCCATTTAACCCACTTGATTAGATTTTTTTTTATCATTACATCAAAGTCAACTAATATCCACCCTCTTTATGTATACTCCTTTAACATGGTGTAATAACAATACAGTTCTCAAGGGTTGCAAGTGTCATATTCCCTTGTAGGGTTTAAACAGCCCCCCCTTATTAACAACATATTGTATCTTTCTGTCCCATTTACCTTTTTATGTCCTTCTTGAGTCCTGTACTTGAAGATCAAATTTTTTGTTGAGCTCTGGTCTTTTTATCAGGAAAGTTTGGAAGTCTCCTATTTTGTTGAATATCCATCTCCTCCCTTGAAAAATGATGCTCATTTTTGCTGGGTAATTGATCCTTGGCTGCATTCCAAGCTCCTTTGCCTTAGAATATCATGTTCCATGCCCTGCGTCTTTTAATGTAGAAGCTGCAAGGTCCTGTGTAATCCTGACTGTGGTTCCATGATATTTAAATTGTTTCTTTCTGGCTGCTTGCAGCACCTTCTCTTTCATCTGGTAATTTTGGAATTTTGCTATTATATTCCTTGGTTGTCAATTTGGGATCTCTTTCAGGTGGTGAGTGATTCTTTCTATGGTTATTTTCCCTTCTGGTTCTAGGACTTCAGGCAGTTTTCCTTTATGATTTCCTGAAAGATACTGTCCAGGCTTTTTTTCATCATGATTTTCAGGTAGTCCAATAATTTTTAAATTGTCTCTCCTGAATCGATTTTCCAGGTTGTTTTTACGATGAGGTATTTTACGTTTTCATTATTTTCATTTTTTTTTTGTTTCTGTTTGACTGATTCTTGCTCTCTCATAGAGACATTAGTTTCCATTTGTCCAATTCTAGTTTTTAACAGATTGTTTTCTTCTGTTAGTTTTTGTACTTCCTTCTTCAATTGGCCAATTGTGTTTTTTAGGGACTTGTTTTCTTCAGTGTATTTTTTTTCCAATTGGCCAATTGTATTTTTGAAGGACTCTTCTACCTCTCTCATTTGACTATTAAAATCCTTCT